ATACTTGCTTATTCACATTTGTTGAAAGGAAAATATATGTTTAATTGTGAGCTGGAAGAGTCAGTAAAATTGTCTGAATCCTGTTTGGTGGGGGGTGGGGGTAGTATTGGTGTACTTTATTTGTTTGTTTTTTATTTTTTGCCTTTTGGGTTTTTTTTTTTTTTGGGGTGGTTTTTTTTTCTTTTGAACAGGATCCCCACCCAACCCTTCGTTAATTTCTTGCTTGTTTCGGGGTTTTTTTGGGGTATTTTTTTTTTTTTTTTTTTGTCCTGCCAAAGTTTTTCGCCGTCCCCCGTTTATTCCGCCAGACGCGGAACAACAACCTGAAGTCCGGCCCCGGGGGAAGGAAGGGGGGGAAAAGGGGGAAGAAGGAAAAACACGCACACACATCCAGCCTTTTTGTGCGTGTGTGGGGATGGAGGGGGTGGAGAGTGCGTTGATTTCTTCCAATATTATTTTTTATTATTCTTACGATTATTAGGATTATTATTCAACGCTCGCGCTACCGGCGGCGATGCCCCATCGCCCGCAAAATAAATAAAAAAAAAAATTAAAAAACAACAACAACAGGGGGGGAAAAAAAAACCCAAACCAAACCCAACCAACGCTAAGCGTCGGTTTCAAAATTCTTTCCTTTTATCTTCTCAGCATCTGGAGAGAGGGAGAGAGAGAGAGAGAAAGGGCGCGTTCATGAGGACTACAAAGTTACAAATATGGCTCCCCAGTCTCTCTTGCCTGATCACTGCAAAGAAATGAAGACGCACTTTAAACTAAACCATTCGCAACTCACTCGCAGTCCCTGCCTGCCTCTCCCTAGCCCGGCACCCTGCACAAATATTTGCCAACTAAACACGCCGAGAGAGAGAGCAGCGAGCAACTTATTTTTTATTTAATGCACGGCCAGCCCCTCTCCGAGGCATCGCAGCCCGGCACGGGCAGGAGCAGCCCCGGGGAGCCCCCGAACGTCCCCGGAGCGCCCAAAGCGGGGGGCACAGCCCCCCACACACACAGGTAGGCACCTCAAGGGCAGCAGCGGCCCCGCCAACACCTGGCACGCTCCACCCCGCCAAAAAAAAAAAAAAAAAAAAAAAAAAAA